GCAGGCTTTAGACCAGGAAGAGGGTGTATTGATCATATCTTCACCCTCCGACAGATTCTAGAACATAGGCATTCTTGCCGGCGTCCAACAATCATTATATTTCTTGACCTAAAGGTGGCATTCGATTCTGTCGACCGAGAGGTGCTCCGACGATGCTTGGCTGTAAAGGGAATGCCGAGAAAATACATTGCACTGATCAAAGCACTCTACTTGAACTCATTCAGTCAGCCAGGTGAGAGTATACAGTGAGTTGTCATCTGAAGTGGTGACAACTAGTGTTGTCCCACAGGGATGCCCACTATCCCCGTTTCTATTAAATTTCATCATTGATGTACTAATGGAATTAACCCTAATTCACTTCAGAGACCCAGGGATTGACTTGCTACTAGGGAATAATCTCGTGGACTTAGAATATGCAGACAATATAGTCCTTCTAGGCGAGGACGCTGTCAAAATGCAGAGTCATCTGAAAACCTTGAGCTGCAATCTACGAATGTTTGGCATGCGATTCGCTCCCGCCAAATGCAAGATAATGCTACAGGACTGGACTACAGCGACTCCTAGGTTAGAAATAGGAAGTGAAGTGGTAGAGCACGTTGACCACTTCACTTATTTGGGAAGTTGCATCAGCCAGTCTCAACAGGTTGATCTCTGACAAAATCTCAGCACGGATACAGAAGGCTAGTTTTGCATATGCAAGTTTACGCCGTCTCTGGAGTAGACGTGATACCCGGCTATCGACCAAAGGGCGGATGTACTGCTCATCAGTCCGCTCCGTCCTTCTTTATGGCTGTGATACCTGGCCATTGAGAGTGGAAGACATGAAAAGGTTGGCTAACTGTCTTTGATTATAGGTGCCTGCGTTTTATCCTCCATATGAAGTGGTATAACTGGGTGAGCAATATTGAGGTTAGGAGTCAAGTGCTAGGTAAGGAGGGGAAATCAATCGATGAGGCTGTGAAGCTATATCGGCTGAGATGGTTAGGACATGTGTTACGCATACTTAGTCATCGGCTTCCTCAACCACCAATGTTAGCTGACATAGGGCCAGGCTGGAAAAGAGTTAGCGGCAGTCAAACCGAAACATGGCACCACTCTATGGAATCCACAACAGTTAGTTTAGGCCACGTAGGAAGGTGTAGACTTCCTGACTGGTTGGGGTCCTCGGGACGGTAAAAACCAATGAGGGCTGGAGACAATTGGTGATATGGCTCAAAATCGTTCTCAATGACAGCGCAGATGCATCCACTCCTTGTGACTTATAGTACCCTACGAAACTATGTTGCTCTTCGCTATTACTATTCTCCTTTTGTCTCATGGCCCTTTCTACTGTCCCTATTTTGCATTTCTTCTACTTTCTTCTCTTGCTTTGTGTGATACATGGAGTGTGGCGACTTGTACAGCTGCACATCGATGCAAAGCTCTATGTTGAACACAGACAGACTGGATTCCACTGCTAGTCACTATCAAGCAAAATAACATGTATGGATATAACTGAGAATCTTTTAAGGTATTTATTGAGGACGGCAACAGGATTAAATTGGATTTATGCTATCATGTGGACATGATAACTTTATTGGACAACTCTCCATCTCGTACTACCAATCAGATAAATTTATTTCATCCTCGATGACCTAACTTTCAACGTAGAACTTTGCACAGAAATGCAGCAGTTCAAGTTGCCACACTCCATGAAGTACACAAACGCAGAGAAAAAATTTTAGAAGAAATAAAATGGGCAAAAATATATGAGAAAAGAATAGTAACAAGGAAGAACATGAGGGTTTATTGGATTTGTGACATTACGAAGAATGAATACATCTGCACCACTAAGAACGGTTCTGAACCAGACCAGTCATTGGTTTTTAGCGTCCAGAGGATTCCAGCCAGGCAGTCTACAACTACCTACGTGGCTCTCAAAGACTTCACGGACTGATGACAAGTCTTGGTTTGACCACCGCTATCTTCTTTCTAACGTGATCCTATATCAACTGAAATTACTCCACAAGAAAGTTGGTGGTTCAACATGCATAACATGTGTACTAACCATCTCAACAAATGTAGATCTACCAACTCATTGACGGACTTTCCTCGTCTAACACTACGCTTAAGTCAATACTACTCACTGCATTACACTACTTAACACGGGATATTCAACGCGAACACCTATGATCAAAGACAACTAACTCCTTTTTATCTCCTTTTATCACAGTCATAAAGGAGGAGAAGTCGAGCCGCTGCACAATACACACTTTTGATGGCTAGCTAGATATCACGTCTACTCCACGGACGACGTAAATTGGCAAACGTCATCAGTATGCAGTACTTTAGATAGGACCTTATAAAAATATTCTTTTCACTTGGCTATCAACCATTGATTTACAGATTGACACCTGTTTAACCTTGACTTAATTCATTTGACATTGTGGCTAGTAGTACATGACCTAGAAAGCTGGAAATCTTTCAGTAAGTGGTCATTTCGAAAAACTGACTTTGGTGGCTTGGAGATGTCCTACAAATATCCTCCTTACTTGGCTCAAACCAATTGTTAGAGAATTCATGGAGTGATGCCAAGTTTTGACTAGACTACCTCTAACTCTTTTTCAACCTAATTCTATGTCAGCTAGCATTGCTCCACGAGGAAGGTGGTTGTTAGGTATGTGTAATATGTGTCTTAGCTATCTCAATCGATGTAGCTTCACAGCCTCATCGACAGACTAGCCCTCCTTTCCTAAGATTCTACACCTGACCTCACTAATACTCATAATATTATACCACTTAATACATCTGTTTCATGTTGCATACTGCTGGTTGATAGATATGAGTAGTTGGAAACTATTCATGTCAACCAGTGGTGCTTGCTAGGCAGCCAGATTGAAGTGATCTAAACAACGTAGGGCCCTTTACTGGTTTGAGGTCGGGCTCATACCAGCAATGTACACTGTCTGACAGCCCCAGAGAACCAAATCAGTTCATACCACTCGACTTCTGGCTAGCTACTTTGGCGAACTGAATCAATTTCGTCATTTGAAAACTATGCAGTTCAAGTTGCTTACGAAAACCTATATTATTTAGATCACAATGTGCCATCTAATAAATACCATAATTACCAATCAAGAAAGCGAATTCGATTCAGTGGATTACCGGTTAGCCAAAGTAGCTAGCTGAAATTCCGCTCTTTCTGCTGAGTCAACCTGCGTACACCAATGATGAGTTCCACCCCAAATGAGGAAAACCGCCGTCCAGCAGTCCTTAGATCACTTCAATCCGGCTGACAAGCAGTACAGGCTGGTGTGAGCATTGTCCGACTACCCAGTAGTATATAACATCGCACAATGATACCTGCCTTCTTGATTGTCATCGATGGTACCAAGAAGATCACATACATGGTGATCTGAACAATTATCGTTTCTAAATGAAACTGTGGTTAAATTTTACCTTGAACTGTGTAATTTGCAAGTCGCGGATTAATCTTTAAATTGCGGATTTCATTTAATATCTGTTGGGGTAGTTAGTAAGATGGTCTCTCAATTACTTAGAACAGATTTCTTATGTATCCGGCTATGAGCCACGCGTACTTAATATGTGAAAGCCGATGACACTAACCAGATTATCTAGATTAAAGTAAATAGATGGGGGCATTGATTTTGGGACACAGTGACTAAAACTTGACTACTTGAGTGAGTGGACCTCTTATTTTATGTTATATGAAACTAATTAAACAATTGGTGTCATAGGAAAATGAAAAATGAAATACTACTCAAAAACCATGCAGTTGGCAATGAACCAAACCTACAGTATGTAAGGACTAGTCATACTACTTTACTTGACTGCGCCAACCTTAGTAGATGGAGCAGGGAATTCGAACCCGTGACCACCTATTGGTTGGAAATCGAGCGCCTAGACAAATGGGTCCCAGCTCTGTGGAACCAAGCACGCCAACTTATACAAAGGCGACATTACAGTGTAGCGTAATCACAGTTTACACTGATATTTTAAAGAAAATTGAACATCTCTCCTAATTTGACAATTTCATTTGTCACAGAAAAGCGTATCCAGGATATTCTCTTCAAGGATACACTATGGTGTAAAGGAGCCACCTTTAATGTTAAAACTAGACTTTATAAAACATGTCAATGAGACCAGCACACATGTCAACAGGAAAACATATATACACACACACAGACACATTCGCTAACGGGAATACTATTGAACACCATGAAACCAAAGAGAAAGTATCTGTTTGACATTTATTCTGAATAAATCGGAATATGCATACAAATACAAACACAAATCTGTTTACCAACAGTCTATATTGTTTCACTATCTTCTGCATGCAGATTTTACTTTTCGTTTTCTTTTGTCTAACAACAAGGTGCTGTGTTGTATTAGTGCTAAGTTTATCTATATCGATATAGTAGAGGTGTATTATTGGTTTCTAGACAGTATAACAAAAAAATATTTACGTGATGACTGGGGGGTTAGGGAAAATAACTGTTTACCAACTACTACTAATCTCCTTTGTCTCATTCACGGAACAGTCTTATGGACATAGAGTATGTGGATGAATAAGAAAGTATTTCCAAGCAAAGAAAAGGAATGACATAGTTATTTATTAGATGGTAGCTTGTAGTAGAAACCGGGATGCACCTTTTGTCCTATTAGGGACTCGCCAGTTGGATGTACCTGCATCTCCAGTGAGTGATGGTGTGCCTACAGACTCTCTGATACAGCCAGTACACACTGTTTCAAACACCAAAGAGTTGCCCATCCACTTCAAACTAGATGACCGAGTCGTGTCGTCAGCCGTTAGACAATAAACACAGCTCATTGTCAAATGCATGGTAAGATGGTAGATGACTGTTTGGATAACGAAAGTTTTAATTACATGGACTTGAAACAATACATAGATAGGCAATGAAGCTAAATGAAGCAAGGATGACTGGGAGTTAATCTAATGCATACTTATACAACACTTTTTTAAAAAAATATCAACATACTTCTGTTTAATTTGTAAACTAATATTAGATTGCATAGACATCGAATTGTTCTCTTTAACATCAAATTCAAATATTTCTAAAGCTGAAGGAATTGCAACACTAAAATAAAAAATAAAAATATTATTCAAAGATAAACAGAACTATAAAAAAAATTCACATAAATACAAAATATCACAAATAAAAGAAAAGTATAGCTATAGATCAGTGGTCTAGTTACTCGGTTTTTAAATAATGCGTTGCCAGTTTGAACTCCAACCTCTTCTAGTTTACTAATCGGTCATAAGCCTACTAAAAGAGAGAACATTGGGCTTGGGACTACTAGTCCTAACCTAATCGCTACTGATACTTTAAAGTACAAGAAAAATAACCGTAAGCTTCCGTGGAATTAGTGGAGATGGGAGAGGACGGATGGCGAAAACCCTCACGAGCTCACTCAGCTGAAGGTAAGTAAAACAAAGTCTGGAGACATGGAAGATGAGAGCCGTTATTAAAACTGGCTAGATTGCTCATATTTCAGAGGAAATAGGGAAATATAGTATAGAAGTGCTAGGAATCTGTGAGAGCTAATGGAGAAAGAATAATCTACTCCGGTCACCCAAACGACGACCAAAAACACACTGCGGGAATGGATATCTTGATGTCTCCAAGAGCATCGAAGTCCCTCATGGAATGAAAACCAATCTCATCAAGGATCATCACAATAAGGTTCAATTCACAAGGAAGAAAAGTTATGATTATACAGTGCAACGCTCCTACTGGTATGGAATCATGCTGCTGTCCCTTCCAAGAAAAATATTAACCCACCCGCATTATCGTGGAAAAACTAAAAGACGCTTTGGATGAGAAGTGCGGCCCGGGACAATCTGGATTCATGCGTAGATCAAATTGAGACGCTACACATCATCAATGGACGGAGAAAGGAATGGTAGTCAAATCTTTACCTCAACTTTATTGACTTTTGAAAAGGCGTTCTATAGTAGAGTGGACAGTGAAGTAATTCACCAGTTACTTCAACATTACGGAATGCCACAAATCTTTAAAAGCCACATTCAACAGCTGTGTGACAATGACACACACCCAGTGATTCACAACGAAAAGCCCAGTGAATCTTTAGATATGAAGGTAGGAGTAAGACAAGGCTGTTTAGTATTACCAACGATCTTTCTAACTGCGGTGAAATGGATTTTGCGGATGATTTGTTTCATGTCCCACACACGAAAATTTGCGGATGGAAACGAACAAGTTGGCAGAAGAGACAGAAAAAAGGTTCCAGGTGAACATGGAGAAGACAGAGGTGATAGAAATACCTCAGCGGCTCCGAGTACGGATGTTTCGTCGATGTCGTGGGACTATTACGGTGTTACTTAGTGGATAGCGGAATCCAAGACACACCCATCATTGGCTTCGAGTTTCAGAAGGAACACTACCACACTCAATGGACATTGCAGGCTCACCCGCCTGACGAGTCCCAAATACGACGAAATAGGCATGCTGGATTCCACTGCTAGTCACCATCCACCAAACAAATGGAATACAGTTAAAATAAAAGTTTAATCAGATGAGTTGAATGTTAAAAACAGCCTATTGATAAAAAAACTCACCCTGAATCTGTTAATGAATCATTCGACTGGCGATTATCCTCTGCAGTGATTGTCGCTAAATAAGTACGACTATTTGAAAGGGGTGACCATGCAGAATGAGCAAATCGTTCCAACTCTTTTACTTTCATTTTGTTTAACTGAAATGTCTACAAAAAAGAAAAGAAAACAATATTGCCAAAAGCACTGAAAAAAATTATGGTGACAAATAGAAAATAAATAAATTGACAAACATTATAGCCGTTGTTTGCTTTTAAGGCTGAAGTAATATTGGGTGTGATCGGTTGAAACGTGTCATCAATTTCAACCGTCAATATATTTCTACGTGGAACTGAATGCAGTCAAATAAATGTACGTGCTTCCAAGCCATGCCTACTGATTAAAGGCCATAAAAACTGCATATCTGCCTAAACATTAATAGACAGAAGAGGGACAAATAGTATAACCTGCTTACTAGCTGATTGCCTATTGGAATGGTTCATTGACTGGCTAAGTGAACTGTGCACAGAAGTGTACCAATTCAACTTGCAAAGCTACACGTAGCGCAAAGAAGTAGAGGAAAAGAGATTAAAAGAAGTATAATGAGCAGAAATGTACGCGAGGAAGAATAGTGACACGGAAAAACAGATTTAATGGATATAGATTACAAAGATTGGATGCATTTGCACCACCATCAGCCATATCATCCTCCGATTCTTAGAGTCCTGAGGACTTCAAAACGTAAATCTACACTTCGGTACGTGGCTAGCTGAAACCAATGGTAAAAGACTTCATGGATTAATGACAGGTTTTGGTTAGACCATCCCTACACCTTTACATTTAGTTCTACGTCAGCTAAGATTGTTTGTCGAGAAAGGTGATGGATAGGCATACGTAACACTTGTCCTAGCTATCTCAATAGATATAGCGTGTAGACTACCTGCATGGGGTGAGGTCCTTATGATGTTGCCGACCGATAACTGCTACCTTGACGTCGTGTTCGGGCTTGCTACACTGGGTGGAACATTTGTCCCTGCAGGTCCTACTATGCCAGTAAGGTTGTTAGGATAGCGATTAGACTAAAAGTAGATACCGACATAGTGTAATAAATTTTTTTACACTATGTCGGGGGTCTTTGGGCGAAGTCGTACTGCTGGGGGAAAGGGATGTAACGACAGTAAGGTGTTTCCCTCAGATGAACAGCGTGCAAGCTATACAGTCTCTCCACTCTGGAGAGGAGTTAGAAAAGCTCGACCCCAAAAATTGTCTGTCTGTCTGTTTTCGACATAGAACTTTGCACAAATGTGCGGAAGTTCAAGTCGCCACATTCCGTGTAGCACGCGAAGCAAGAGAAGAAAGTACAAGAAAAGCAAATAGAAACAGTGAGCAGAGGTGTGAGACAAAGGAGTAATAAAGAAATACAAAACAGTTTCATTGGAGATCATAAGTCACAGGGAGTGGATGCATCTGCGCCACTGAGAACGATTTTGAGCCATGTCACCAATTGTTTCCAACCATAGATTTTTGCCGTCCCGAGGACCCCAGCCTGGAAGTCTACACCTTCCTACGTGGCTAAGACCAACTGTTGTGGATTTCATTGACTGATGCCAAGTTTTTGTTTGACCGCCGCTAGCTTTTTTCCAGCCTGACCCTATATCCGCTAACATTGCTCGTCGAGGGAGGCGATGGCTTGGCATACGTAACACATGTCCTAACCATCTCAGTCGATGTAGCTTCACGACTTCGTCGATTGATTTCCCCTGTTTACCTAGGACTCTACGCCTAACCTCCATGTTGCTCACCTTATTATGCCACTTTACACGGGATATAGAACGCAGGCACCTATGATCAAAGACAGCTAGTCTTTTCATGTCTTCCACTCTGAGTGGCCAGGTCTCACAACCATAAAGGAGGACGGAGCGGACTGATGAGCAGTACACCCGCCCTTTGGTCGATAGTCGAACATCTCGTCTACGCCAGAGTCGGCGTAAACTAACAAATGCGAAACGAGCCCCTTGTATTCGTGCTGAGATTTCGTCAGAGATCAGCCCGTTGGGGCTGATGGTACTTCCAAAAATTGTACATTCCAACTAACCCCACAGTGCCGCGTAACCGGCGGTAGGTTGCGAATACGGAACCAATCTGAGAAAACAGTTAATACAGGCCGTGTGTGACCAGCTTCAAGTAGTTATCCCACTGCAATCACGCAACACTAACCCTCTTTCTATCTCAGGTACACGAAGAATCAATCAAGTCCCATGGTGTGGGCAGCCTGGAGGTAACTACCGCCCGCACACTTCCAAAAGCCCACAAAGCTTTCCTAAACATCATTCTCCTTTACCCATGTTATCTTCCTCATCTTGCTTCCCTACCACAAACAGTAAACACCAGTGGCTAGAGACAATTGGTGATATGACTCAAAATCGTTCTCAATGACAGCGCAGATGCACCCACTCCTTGTGACTTATAATTTCCAACAAAACTATATAGTTCTTCGATCCTATCATTTCTTGCCACATATCTCTGTCTACTGTCTCTATTCTGAATTTCTTTTTACTTCCTTCTCTGGCTTAGTGTGCTGAGTGAAGTGTGGCCACTCGAAGTGCTGCACAACGATGCAAAGGTTCTATGTTGAAACCAGTCAAACAGTCCTTATGACGCTAAGAACTAATGACTAGGGACTGTCGGTGACATGACGCAAATGCATTTACTCATTGTGACCTTCCGAAAAAAATGGGTCCTTATAATTGTTCACGTACTTATTATTGCTTTTATAAGCTCCTGTTTATTATAATTTCTTTGCATCACTCGTCTCTACCAACTTTGTGTGCTTTTATCAGATACGGTAACTTGAAATGCTGAGCGTTTTTGTAGAGATCTATACTAGAAATCCAATAGCATTTTGAGCATATAAAACATAGTCTTCTGAGCTATGGCTCACTGATTAACATCGGTTGGTAAAATATGATGAATGAATTCTTCTCATTCAGCATTGATGTGCATTTTAGCAGGATTTAAAAATCTAATGGTCGATGATGATATCGAAATACCCAACTATACCCAGCTAGCATTTTGTTCGGGCGCATTGCAGACTTTTTGGGGCAGACTTCGGGCGCATTGCAGACTTCTGGGCAGACTTGGGCAAATTGCATACTTTTAGGGACAGACTTAGGGCAAATTGCAGACTTTTTGGGGCAGAATTTGGGCACGTTGCAAATTCCGAGGAAGATTTAGGGCGCATTGCAGACTTTTTGGGGCAGACTTCGGGACACTGTCCCACGTTAGTAGATCTACCCGAAGTTTTTGCCCCAAAACGTCTGCAATGCGCCCGAAAAAAATGCTAGCTGGGTAGTATGTATACAAACTATGGTATCGCGAGTTAAACTACCTCATTTGATTTATAAATAAAATAAATATTCAGTGTTAACACCCAGAAAAGCTAAGTTTGGGGGACAACAAAACAGCATTTATCCTGATTTACCTGGAAAATCACGTTTCCTGTCCAACTGGTAATGCCGCCAAATAATGCGTTGGCAGTAACCTTGATGAGTATTCAATTTCAGTGCCCAGGAATCATCGAATGAATAGTAATAAACTTTGTAGTCCTTTTTAATCCATATAATACACATTCTGCTTAAATTCGAGATATTCCCTAAAATGATTCATTGTAAGAGTCTACACCTCAGGATTTCATCCCAAATCCTCCATCATATTGTGATAAACATCTCCATCTGACACGTAGAAGGCTCGAGTTTGACTCGCATTTGAGGAAATAGTTTTACATATTTTCCTAGCCAGCATTGTATTTGGACTCCTAAAAATATCTACCACTGCAGTTGTATTGGGAGTAATAAATCTTTGTCTGAAGAACAGCATGATTCCTAAGCAAGGCATTCTTGTCTGACCGAAGGTTTTCGCACGGGAAAAATGGGCACATACAGCTGATACTAATAGCGTGGTGAAATTCTTAGGCCTTTTCTCTTCCTGCCGTATGCAATCAAGATACCACTGATAATTATTTTCGCGGATGAAATTAGGCTATGGAGGACTTTAGATGATCACTACTTTCATTATTATTCTCTTCGATCCAAAGTTTTCAGCAACACATCTACAAGTCACCGTTGTCCTCTATAGCTGCTCTAAGAATATTCATAAGTTCTCATATCATACACGATGGCTCTCAATCAGGTGAGTGAAACAGGTTACTTCATTCAAATTTCTCCCTTTGATAGAGATAGTTGTCTCTTGTTGTTGCTCGCTAGATAATGAAAGTAATCGGCTACTTTACGCTCAGAGATATATCTGTGAAGCCTAAAATAATGATATTTTACTTTTTCCTATTCGCATAATGAGGTGTTATGTCCAAAATTTCCACTTTTAGGCAGTGGAGTTATATAACATTTCACATTTCGTGTTAATTAGATCGTATTTAGTTCACTGAACTGTTGAGCACTTCTTCTCAGGATTGACGTTTCGTCGGTTGCGAGCTAATTTTGGGTCCAGCCATCTTGTTTCTTGGGTGGAGATAAACGTCATCGTGATATATTTTCCCGCACTGTAGGGGTTATCACGTTCACACCTATAGAGGCGTTTTGTGAAAATATATTACCACGAAAATACCCATTTATTCATGAGTAAAAACACAGTTTTTTCTGGTCAGCGAAGAAATTTCTTTTCAACGACTTCATTTTGAAGCTGTACAGTAGTATTCATATTACAGAAAAAGGTTATTAAGTGGCACTAGATAATTGCTCAGTCAATATACATATATGTGTGATAAGAATAACGATAATTAAAATGTTATAAGGGGTGGAGTTGAAGTGGATAAATTACAGAATTATTAAAAATAGTTTTATAAGTAAATTCATATCAAAAATGTCAAGTGTTGTCTAAAAATTTAAAAAATTAGCATTGCGATTACGATAAGAATGAGGACGTGAAGTGAAGTGGAAAGAATTCAAGTGGTAAAACAAAATACAATAAAAACTAGAAAGAACATTACTATGAACAAAACAAAGAAAGGGGTTTGACAAAACGTTTTTGAACACGTAATTTAGGTTTCTATTCATGTATAGCTAAATCTTCGGCTATGCATTAGTAAAGAAAACGTAAACTTTTGGATCAGTTTGATTTCGCCATTTAGATAACTTTGAAAGATGAATCACGTGGGGCTAAATGACCAGACTTTAACAGGTGATCACAAATAGACGGCGCCGCCTTTCATTAGCCAAACCGGATAGTGTTCAGCTACACGTTTTCGGGGATTACGCTTACAACGTCGAATATAATCAGCTCCACAAGAGCAGGTAAATGAGTAAATACACTTAGATGTGGACAAAAGCGGTAATCTATCCTTGACGCATTGCCTAATCATATTTCGGCTGTTAAAACCTAGTTGCAAGTCAGCTGCAGGAAAAGGGCGTTTAATACATTTAGATAAACGATTTTTAATCAGTTCCGAAATGGTGTCACCTTTGAATGCCAGACTCATAAATAATTTTTTGTTTGGCACTGTAATTTGTCTAGGGATGAGTTCTTTCTTGATGTTAGGTTCAATAAACCTTGTAGGATAACCACTGTTAAGGAAATTTGATCGAAGTTTACGTTTTGTAATTTATCCACTTCAACTCCACCCCTTATAACATTTTAATTACCGTTATTCTTATCACACATATATGTATATTGACCGAGCAATTATTTAGTGCCACTTAATAAACTTTTTCTGTAATATGAATACGACTGTACAGCTTCAGAATCAAGTCGTTGAAAAGAAATTTCTTCGCAGACCAAAAAGCCGTGTACTACTTAAAGATAGATTACATTTGACTACTTTTGGGCCTCTGTAGCCGAAAAAAGCAATACTTTTCCTCATTGTGTTCGTATTAATGGGTGAAATTATCTTGATATTCTAGCCGATATACGAATAAATAAGTCATCCTTTATGAAAGATTTCGCATAGAAAGTCTATTATTTACGTTTGAGAGCCTTTAAGCTTTGTTATTTGCTAGTTTTTAAAGATCTTGAGGTTGTAAATTGACTAAAGGCAATTATTGTTGTTATAACAGTGATAGTCAGATATTTGAAACAGAAATAGCACAAAGAAATAAGTTAGATGTACGTATTGAGGCCGTAAATAACTTTTATAATCATCCGTGGTGATTGAAATATTCCATAACACATCGAAGAGACCATGTGAAGAATGAGAAAAGCTGCTGAATTTCCTGGTGAATATATCCATTACAGTGAAGTTATTAGCTAAAATCGCTCACGCGAAGATATGATAGTAGTGTGATTTACACTGTCACATTGAATTTCAGGATGCCGCAATTGCTTATTGCATAAACTGGCATCGAATTGTGTTCATATGAGTGTGCGTTGGGGGAAGAAGAATAGTATAGATAGTCCTATCTGTAGGGATTTTGCGATGTTCACGTTACAATGCTTGAATCTATGTAGTTGCTACATGCTGTTGTGTGTGAAGAGACAGTTGGTGGAAACGAAGATAGAATAAGGTATCCTATAAACTCACTATGAATACTGCGAATTGTGGATGAGAAGTTGCATCAAAATAAAAAAATTCCGAACACCTCGAAAACATCCCTGAAGTTTCAATGATTATTTCCTTTAACACTTGTACATCATGTTTCCAAATTTCAGAATGACGCCAAAACATCAGTGCTACCCCATGGGCGCCACAGAAATTCGTGAGAGATCTTGCATGTCAGGTCGTCTTAAGAAGTCTAAGCTTGTGCCATAATTCAACGTAAGCGAAATCTTATTACAGCTCAACTTATTGAATTATTCGTATCGTGTAGACTTCATTTTACACTATACGTTAACACCCGTAATCATATGGATTGACGTCACGCTTTAAGTGAAATAATAGTAATGCACTACTTTTGAATACACTTAACCTTATACAAAATCGAGCTCCAATGCAGTGCCTAAGCTCAATTCTTATTTTTCAAATACTGAAGTTAGGTATTTTGGTCATTGGTCTCTACAGACTTACCTATGACTAGAAGACGTAATCGAGTAACTTTAGGCAGATGCTCAGGCTTGACTAAAGTACTCATAATCCACCACTTCTATCTATCGATAGTGTTCCTACAGAATTACACTTACGTATAGTAACGAGTTCATATCCCAGAGAGTATCGGTCTAGCATGCCGCACTCCCACTGCAAGTATATCAAGTAGATCACAAGAATATTAGACAGAAAATTTTATTTCGCTGCAACGCAAACAAGTTTATAAACATGTATGGGCTGTGTACAGTCAAAGATGAAAGTCTTTGTTTGGGAATTATCTCTCATTATTCGATGGAAACTTCCTCAGTTTCCAAATCACGTAACCGTTAAATTTTTTCTGAAACTCAAGTAAACAGAACTGTATGCCCACATCCGAAGTTATTTGGTATCACGAACTGGAAAAAAGAACATCTACAAGGTTATAAGTGAATGAGCGAACTTACCCTCACTTGCTGTCGTATGTAGAATCAATTCCTACAATTGATTATGCAAATGTTTCTGGTCATAAATCGTAAAACACTCGTCAGTGTTTTTCGGATGCTTTTGTCCGAATGCGACTACATCTGCTTCCACTGGATTTAATTAACTGACAGGCCTCATTACGACTAGAAATTCCTAAAAGTGATACAGGTTAAATTCACTTACATAAATTAAGCATTTACATGATTAACATGCACGACTTAAGTATTCAAAATAATTCAGTCATAACAGCTTACAATCCTTTTGAAATGTGGAGCACATAAGTGGCGCAGAAAGTATCATGAATATTACGCATACGTTACACTATTAACTGCCAGAAATTTTGCTGTCGAATCATACCACAAGAATATATTTGACAATACTTTGTTAGTGTTCTGAGGGACAGAAAATATTAGAGCAAAACATACAGGCTAGACGAAAGTTCCACAAAGTTATCTCACTACTATACAATGTCCAATTCGCTGGTTTTTCCTCTGCATGTGAACGCAGCCACACACTGGTATATTAAAAACGGCTGTCACCGTCAGCAATATATAAGGTTCTCACCTTTCGAAAGTCTTCTAACGCGTCCGAAGCTTGTTACGTATGTGGTGCATCCGCCGCACTAATTACCCACGATGAAATACTAGAAAATAGGGCTCGTTAGCGAAGTGCATTATTGCTACAGCTTTTCGAAGTTAATTCGCGAGAAACACAGGATCCTAGACTATGTCAGTGAGAAATATCGAAGTAGAAAACACTGTACGTATAACCACAACTCAAGAAATGTGTTGGGACCGTCGGGATCGTAGCCACTGATAACTACCACAATGGCTAACCAGTTTTAAGGGAGTTTATAACGAAAAGAGCACTGTCTCTGTATAAAAACAGTGAAACAACGTTAGAATAGTCAAATGTTACACTTATATTCATCACAGTTGTCTGCAAGTCACGTATAACACAACCACACAAAAATGCACACGACAGCACCTACCTAGGACGAATCAAAAATCCAAC